GCTCGACAACTGTGTCTCTGTAGCTCAGTTGGTTAGAGCTCGACAACTGTCTCTCTGTAGCTCAGTTGGTTAGAGCTCGACAACTGTCTCTCTGTAGCTCAGTTGGTTAGAGCTTGACAACTGTCTCTCTGTAGCTCAGTTGGTTACAGCTGAACAAGTGTCTCTCTGTAGCTGAGTTGGTTAGAGCTCGACAACTGTCTCTCTGTAGCTCAGTATTCTCTCCGCATTAATACATGTCCGCTTGTCCGCCTAACCACATGTCCGCATATCCACATGTCCGCGTCTTCCACCCGACATGAAGATAGCTCTATCAGTTTCAAATTGGTCTCCTTAAACGCACAGCGGGAAATGGATGGGAAATTTCCAGTGAGACCAGCAGGTGTCAATAGCACGTGCTATAGTGCAAGGATTCCAGTACAAAAATTGAGATCAGCGACGATACCCCATTACCTTGACCTTCCCACAGACATCTGACACATTGCACGCGATTGTTCAAAACGAATAAAAATAATGCACTTCCTATTAAAACTAGCACATGATATTATAATAAATATCACGTTACAGGAGCTCAATGATTTTCACGCTGAGATAAGCATAAAAATATATTATTTCAAAGCCTGTTCGGCTGTCCCTTTTCTCGATAATCTTCTGCCCAGGAGAAATCAACTAATTGATGCAGGTCTTTTCATGTAGCCTGTCTGCGAAGTGTCTTCCAAAGATTAGTGTGGTATATGGTATTGTGGAATTTTAATACTGAATTTTTTCAGCTTTTGTTTTTTATGTAAGATTACAAACGATTTGCAGTTGGTTTATACTCGAAATTCTATTTATTTTCTGTTAGTTTAAGAATTTAAATTGATTTGGCAGATTTTTGTAAGCGTTGCGGACAGTAGATGCGTGTCAATGTCAGAATGTTTACACCATAGATATCTCATATGGTTCACACTTTATATTGGAGCACGCGAAAATTAAACTACATCTATCAGCCACGAAGTGAAAGGCTGCTCTGCAGAATGAAAATAATTTAAGCCTGCTTTAGATTATGAAAATTTCTGCGATCACATTAGGAATTTTGCATGGGTAAATTCTAAGTTTTAAGGGATTTGTAAGAAATGTTTGAGGGAATTGACTCTGTATGTTAAATACCGAGTCAGTTTCTTCAAACATTTCTTGCAAAACCTTCAAAACTTAGAATTTACCCATGCAAAATTCCTACTGTGATCACAGGGACTTTGATAATGCAAACCAGCCCTGCCATTATTTTGTCAGCAGCAAAATTTTGTGCAGCAAAATTTTCTAGCATTTCATTTTTAACAAGCCTAAGTTGTCTAAGTTGATATACATTAGATGATGTTCTACAACTTAGATGATGTTCTACAGCGTTCTGTGGTGCCCCCTTGGCTTGCCTTAGGGGTCCACTGTAGGTAGGTAGTACTCTATACAATAAGTTGTCGTTGTTTGTGTCTGAACTACCTGAAAAAGATACCTCAAACATGCTTGTCCAGTAGGGGGAGTATTCTACAATAACAGTCAATAAGCTGTTGTGGTTTGTGTCTGAACTACCTGAAAAAAATATCTCAAATGCAGTGGTCCAGTGTAGGTAGTATTCTACAGTGAACGGCCGCGGTTTGTGTCTGAACTACCAAATAAAAATTAAACTTGGACATTCGAAGTAACGAATGTCAAGTAGTTCAGACACAAACCAAGACAGGTTGTATATTTTACATATTGAATCTTACACCTCGAGTGTTTGAGCAGTAAACTATATTTGAACAGTGCAGAAATTGTACATAGGTTATGTATACATGTTTCTAAACCGTGTTAATTGAACTATGTTTACATCAGGGTAAATCAGCGCAAAACTTGTTAGCATAACTGGGTTTACATTTACTTAGTCATATTTCAACATATTTCAGCAGGTTCCGCAAATGATATTTACGTCAAACGGACAGATAGCTATTTGACCTTACGACCGAGTGCGTTTTGCATTAAAGTAGGTTATATATTATTGAGCAATATTGCCCAAGGTTATTGTTGATACTGGATAGCTCTATCAGTTTTAAACTGTTCTCCCTACACTACAGGAGGAAACCTAACCTAAACTAACTTTATTTATACTGGATAGCTTTCTAAACTGGGCAGTATACTTATCCTGGGAGAATAGTTTAAACTGATAGAGCTATCCAGTATAAAGTTAGTTTAGTTTAGGTTTCCTCCTGTAGTAACACTGGAACAATAAGAGATGATCCTTACTGGACCTCTAGGAAGAACAGTTTAGAACTGATAGAACTATCCAGTATAAATAAAGTTAGTTTAGTTTAGGTTTCCTCCTGTAGTAACACTGGATCAATAAGAGATGATCCTCATTGGACCTCCAAGAAGAACAGTTTAGAACTGATAGAGCTATCCAGTAAAAATAAAGTTAGTTGAGTCCAGCCTAGACCTAGGCCTTCTATTTTTATTTATATTTTTTTAATATTCAGCGCTTTTTCACATGAAAAGACTGGGACCATTGCGATAATTACCAAATGCTAGCCGGAAATAGACCAAACCTGCCAAAGATACCTGCCAAAGCCAGCCGAGTAAAGGCCTAGGTCTAGGCTGAGTTGAGTCTACAATGACCCTTACTAGACCTCCACAGAGAACAGTTTGCAACTGATAGAGCTATCCTTTAATAAATTAGGACCAAAACAAGGCTAAGATAGTCAGTTAAGACTAAAAGATACGATTATAATTTCACGCTTCTTATTTTAGGTTTGGCCAGCACTAAAACCTTACAGGCATGAAAGACAGATTTCACCAGAAAAATCTCTCTCGCTACACAAGTTTTGAGCTATTCCTGTACGAGTTACTAGACCAATTCCTCATCCTATTCATCGTCTCCCCGTCCGCAGTGCTGGTCTGGCGAGGAAGCTGGAAATTTTTCGACGAATTTCTCTTTCCCGAATACTTATTGATCAGCGGATGGGTTTCCGTGGGCATCGGGTATATTTTTATAATAATGACTTTCTTGTTCGTGGAGTGGAAAGGCGGTGACCTCAAACTTTTCGAAAAGTACAAAGAATGGCGTCTATTCATGTACCCTCTGTCCATCAGCGTATTACACGCGTGGCGTGGTGTTTGGATGCTCTTAGATATATATTGTTCCAATGACGGTTATAATTTATTAATCTCGCACGTCGTATCTTTCGTCGTTCTTGGCTTAACCAAAACTGTATCGAACTCGATGTTCATACCGGCATTTTATGCAAGCGATTATTGCGTCACGCCTTTCCAAATCGGCACCGCGTTTGGTACAGCGAATACGCGAACTAATCCATTTTACAAACTATTCGATTATCTCTTCACCATGACTGTGATTACTGTATCGACGGTTGCATTTTGGAGATCAAGTTGGACGGCTTTAAATGTTTACGTGTTCCCAGATCACGAGGCGTTCAGTAATCTCTTGTCGATCATAGTGGGCTATACCATTATTGCATCGTTCAAATTGATAGAGGGCTCACTCAAGTCGTTAGCGGAGTGTTCGAAAGTTGTGACATTTATTCTGCAAGCGGCGTTCTGTTATTCCATGGGATTTGCTGCGATTAATTTGTGGCGTGGAACTTGGCAGATGATTGGGTTGTTATACCCAGGTATGTGTTGCATTGTACATGTTGTCTGTTATTGTTGTTGCTGTTAAGTATTTATTTGGTTAGTTGATGTTAGTTTATGAGGTGTCGTGTGACTGCACTTATATTTGTTTTTTTTTAATTGTTGTTGCTGTTGTCGTTGTTGCTGCTTTAGTTGTTGTGGCTGTTATTGTTTTTTTTTTGCTATTGCTGATGTTGTTGTTGTTGTTGTTTTGGGCTATTATTGCTTTTGTTGTTGTTGTTGTTGTTGTTGTTGTTGTTGTTGTTGTTGTTGTTGTTGTTGTTGTTGTTGTTGTTGTTGTTGTTGTTGTTGTTGTTGTTCTTGTTGTTGTTGTTGTTGTTGTTGTTGTTGTTGTTGTTGTTTGTGTTGTTGTTGTTGT